CCCATTTGCCTCAAGGCTGCTTTAAAGTACCATGGAGAGCTGCCGAAACTACAGCAACGTCAACACTGGCCACTTCTGCCTTTCTTGCATCGTCCTTATTGTGTTCCCTTCTCAGATGCCCCGACAATGCAACCAATCTCACTTCTCTTATCCCAGGCCTATTTTGTGTCTGAACTCACTAGGCCAGCATTCAACCTGTACCTAAAGTGTTCCCTTCCCAGCCCCAAACAACTGGTTCTCCTCCAAGCTCCATTCCAAGCTCATGTGGAATGACACTTGCTGCCTCCACTCACTCCAAGCCCTGCTGAGCACAGACACACACCCAGAGCTTCTGCACACCGATCCTGCCTAGCCCTAATGCCAGCAAATGCCCAAGGCTAACAACACTGCTGAGGACATTCCACAGTCCAGGAATCCAAGAAGCAGGCTTTGGTTAAAGGTTTTATAGAACCATAAGCTTCTCTTGTCTACACATGAGTCCCCTGGGAAAACTTTCTTCAAAGGCCTCTAGGCTGTTATGACTCTCCTCGGCTACCCCTACCCCCAGGTCGTCTCTGCTACAGAGATGAGACAGAAGGCACAACTGAGTCCACAGGACAAATGCCAGAGTTCACTTCTGTCATAAATCCATGATGATTTTCAAACACTTGTTTTCTCCTTATTCTAAAAATTATGTTTAGAGCAGGAAAGGAGATGACAAAAATTGTGTGAACTAAAAATTTTTACTATTTGAGTTCGAATTTAAAAATTCAGTTGCATCTAATCCCCCAAGTCAACAATAAAGATACAAACTGAGAAAAGATAAACCACCCCTGAAAATCTCCCGACTCTCACTTGGTCAGGATAGATTAGGACAACTTTGACCCCCAAGGGATACTGGGAAATGTCTGCGGACATTGCGGCTGTCAGAACTGGACGTAGGCAGGATGTGCCATGAGCACCCATCTAGTGGGCAGAGGCCCCGGTAGTGATCAAGAGCCTGGAGTGTACAGGGGGTCCCCACCACAGTGAAGGACCCGCTCTCAGGTGTGCACTGTGCGGACGCTGAGAAACCCCAACCTGGATGTCACATAAGGCAGAGGGACTCGGGAAGACCAATGGCCTGCTCCTCCTGGTGTCCCACCACGGCTCCCCTGGGGCCATCTGAGTGGGGTGGACTCGACTGCACCGCTCAGACCCAGGCCTTGCTGGGCACCTGATCCCCATGTGGGCAAGACACAACTTGCTGCAGGGAGACAGTCGCCACTTGAGAGGGTGTGTCCCTGTGATCCGTGCTCAGTCCCTCCTGTGCCTTAGTTCATCAGTCCTCACAGCCACCTTGAGGGAGCACGATGCTCTTCGCGCCCATTTCACAGGTGAGAAAACCAGCCTCCCAGCAGGAGCGTTCACGTGGAGCTCAAAGACAAGCCCAATTCTCTGCAGGGCAGAGCTCACGCCACTGTCGCTTTACCCCAGTGAGTCTCCGCTGGGGCTGTTGTGCACTGTTCCCCTGACTGGATGGGAGGCTGAGTGTGGAGACATTTTTGGTTATTATCACCCCTGCGGTAGGAGGTGTGTTACAAGCATCTAGTGAGTAGGTGTGGGGATACTACTATGCTGCCAAACATACGGCCATGTACAGGACAGCCCTCTTCCCAACAGGTTTATCCAGCCCCAAATGTCAACAGTGCCAAGGTTGAAAACCTTGCCTTATACTGTCTCCTAGGTTTCCACTATACAATACACATCTACAGGCCAGAAAGAAAATGTCACCTTTAATGCTAAAATCTAGACTCCAAAATATTCTATGCTTCAAATGTACTTTGCTCACCCTGGGAAAAAACTCTGCCTTCAACACCTGATTCAGTTCACAATGTAAAAGAACTCAAGGACCAGCATGATTAACAAGTTTGGGAGATACAATGAGGAAAAATCGGGGGGTGGGGGGTAGAATATTCTTGGACTCAAATGTAAAACACACACACACACTCTTAAGAAAGACGTATTCCAAGTAAACTTTTAAAGTTACAGACCACAGGACTACCAAGAAAGGAATGTGAGAATTGCTGTCTCCTCGTGAGAAGATCACCATGCAACAAGAGCCAACAGGATGCAGTCCTGGACACACAGCTGAGTTTCCCTGCACACAGCATAGCTAACCTGATTTGCTGAAACCAGCGCTTCTCAACACCAGCTAGCTGTATATCAGAGTCACCTGTGCTGCTCTCTGTCAGACATTCAGGCCATCTGGAAATCCTTCACAGGATCAGAATCTATAGGATGTGGGAACTGGGTACCTGTACTTTTAAGAAAAGCTCCCCAGGTGATTCTGATACCAGAATCACTGGACTGGACAGCCAGTCCTTCAGACTGACACACAGATGGGAAAAGTTCAGAGTACAGAGACAGAATGGATGAGGAGGAACTTGGATATGAGGATGGACCAACTTAKGTTCCCAGCTTGGAAAGGCAGAAGCCAAGAAGCTGTTAGGAGCTTAAACAGCGAGAGGGAGAGCATGGCTATAAGGCAGTCCCCATAGTTTCAAAATACAATGGCAAGGAAGTCCTACTTTACCTAGTGGATGAGACATCAAACATCCTAGGCGGACATACATGCTAAAAACAGAAATGGATTCTTCAAGAAACATTACAGAGACTGATTGAAGGATGGTAGGGATATCTGAGGTTCAGAGATCTACTAAAACCTGATCTCCTCAGAATGACTGTCACTAGTGTCAAGATGAAATGGTGTGGCATTTATTGAAAAAAAAAATTTAGCACAAAATATTCCATTCATTTATTTTACATACGTCCATTTAATATGCAACTTATAATGGATAGCTTATGTGTACTATGCAATAAGCAGTAACCCCTGGAAAATAGCAAACCATAATTTTGTGCTCAAAGATAATCGTCACAGTAAGGATTCACTAATGAACTCATCAACTCATTAATTCACCAAACATCTTTTGGACACCTACTCTGTGCCAAGGGCTGTTCTAGATGCAGGAGCTCCACCAATGAACATAACAAACATTCCTGTCCTCATGGAGCTCATATTCTAGTGGAGTCAAACAACCAGGTAAAACTAGCATGCTGGGTGGGGATAAGTGCTGCAGAATAAAATAAAGCAAGCTAAAGGGAATAGAAAATGTGGGCACAATTTAAGGTAGGTAGCCAGATAAGTTCTTAATAATAAAGTAACATAAATGAGTAAAAATCTGGAGATAAAGGAGCAAGTCATGGGTGTATTTGGGGGAAACAGATGCAGGCAGATGAACCATTAGGAAAAAAAGGCTAAAAGGAGGGAGTACATGGCTCACTCAAGAATACTGAGAAAACCTGAGCAGCCAGAGAACAGCAAATCAGGGAGAGAGTGGTAGAGAGAAGGGTAGGGAGGTATTAGGGGTGGAAGTAAAGGAAGCCCAAGTAGAAGGCCCAGTTGATAGTGAGATGTCATCACTCTCTGGAAATACTTTTAAGGTATAACTAATAGGATTTACTGTTGATTTATGGGAGGAACCAGGGGTGACTTCAAAGTTTTTGATCTGAGGAATTCAAAAAATGGACCTACCACTTAGTATAAAGGGACAATGACTGTGGTATGGGCAGGTCTGAGCAGGAAGCTAGGATAAAGATTTTGTTTTGGACATGATGTCAGATGTGCCTATTAGATATCCAAATGGAGATGTCAAATATAGACATGGCTCTCCAGTTCAAGAAACTATATGAGCTCAAGAGGTAACTCTACAGAGTAGTCATATTGATTCCCGTTAATTTATCCAGGCCCATTTCTGCCTTTCAAATGGATCGCCATGAGTTGGAGTACCTCCCCTCCATGGGCTCCTTTGTCAGATAAGAGATTCAATGTAAAATGGTCAAGTCAGAGGGCTCTAAAGTCACATCACTTTGGTTCACATTCCTGCTCCTTCCTGTGTGACCTGACTTGGGTAGGTAACTTAATCACTCTAACTCAATATCCTCACTGAAAGAATGGGACTACCAGTATCTACTTCATGGAGCTTTCCTGGGGAGTACTGGAGGGATAACTGTCCCTGTACCACTCCAAATGTGCCCCAAGGCTGACCACTTACTATGAGCACTCACGCACAGTGCGGGTCAGGATGGGAACCCCAGGTCACCCAAGAACAGCAGGGAGCATCGCACGGGGAACCAGAGCCAGACAGGTACAGCTTGCCTGCAGTTGTGCACCGAGAAAAGGAGACAGCTAAAAATAGAACCTCGGAAGTCCTCAAGCCAGAGCAACTCGATCGTGGACGCAGGCAGACATCAGCCTGATCGAGTGCTTCCTCTTGGGGATTTGGAGGTGCAAACCTTGTCGAAAATGCTCAGGAGGCATGTCAGCGCTCCACAGAGGAGAGAATCACAAGGTCTCTCTGGAAGTGCAGCCAAAAAATAAAAAATAAAGGAGGGGCAAAAAGCAGCCCGGCTTCGGCAGCCCAGCTCCCGTGGCCGGGCCTAACTGGGGACACGCGGCGCCCCGAGGGACCTGCGGGAACTGGCGGGAACGAGGGTGCGGAGCTCGGGCGGGGGCGGGGAGCAGGGCCCCGGCTCCCTGCGGGCTCGGCGTGGCGGCCACCGGCCGGGCAGGGGACGCCGGTGCCGGGCGAGGGGGCGGGGAGGGAGCGTGGCGCGCGCGGGCCACCACCAGGCCCGAGGTCTATTTACATCCGCGGCCGAGGCCCGGGCCGCGCCTCCCGCCCCTTCCGGCCCCGGGCCGGGCTGCGGGGCGGAAGCGCCTCTGGCCCGCGGCCCCGGCGGCCTCCCGGCGACTCTGGCCGGACGGCGGCAGGGACCGCGGCTGCCGCGAGTGATGGGCCGGCGGGTGAGGCCGGCCTGAGGAGACGGAATGGGGGGCGGCTGCGGAGCCCCCGAACCTCCAGGGCGGAGCGGACGGGACGCCCGCACTCAGGGACGCCCAGCCCTCGGGCCTGTGGCCCCGCAGCCTTCCTCCGCCCGCTCCCCAGCCGCCAGCTGGCCCCCAACGGCGCCTCCCCTACCTTCGTTCGCCAGGTCCGCCATTTTACTTCCTTAAGCCCTCCCACAAGGCCCCGCGCCGGCCCAGGCTCGCCAGTTTTCTGCCGGAGACCGCTGCGCGTGCGCATTTAATAAGCCGACTCCAAGCGAGGCGGGCAGCCCGCGCCTGCGCACTGAGCTGCGCGCCGAGTCGAGCTCCTACTCGCGCTCCAAGCACGCGCCTGCGCACTAACGGCCCCTAGCCTTCTTCCCGCCGGCGAGGGGGGCGTGGTCACGTGAGCGCGCACGCGGTCCCAGCGGGGGTCCCGTGGTGGCACTACCCGGTGGTGATCCTGGGGTCCGAAGCGGCAGGAGAGCTGGCGGGTCTGGTGCGCAGCGGCCGCGGCCTTCCTCTAGGTGAATCCTCGGCCCGAGGGACTTTCCACCGGCGCAGGAGCACCGACCTGGGGGCGGGCCCGTCGCGCGTGAGAGGGGCGCGCAGCCCTAGCCCGCAGGTGCCGCCTGGGTCGGGGACAAGACCTTTGATTCCCGCGACCCACGGGAAGGGACGCTCCGGGACGCTGGCGCCAAGCCGGGCACCAAGGCTCTGCAGCTGTGAAGCGGCCGAACTGCCCGGTCGGCGGACGGTCTGCGCCTTCACGTGGAATTGCAGTTGGCGCCACGTCTGGACGCCGGATGCCAGGCCAGGCTCTACCGGGAGCCACGTCAAGATGTGACCACCCCCAGGAGCTTGGGGAAAGGGGACACCCAGGGTCTGCCCCTGCTTGCCTGCTACCTGTCTCAGCATGTCTTTGGGGCTAAAGTACAGCCCAGGTCCACCCGCTCTCCCGCGTGGCTGTCCCGCCTGGGGCTCTTCTGGGGCACTGAACACCTTCTCCGCCTCCTTCCTTTCGTAGTAATGAAGCCCGGGGTCTGTTCGCACGCGGCACAGGACGAGGGAGATTTTAAAACATAGAGGGGCTGGGCTGCGGCTCAGCRGCSGAGCGCTGGCCTGGCACATGTGAGGCCCCAGTTCCATCCTCAGCACCACATACAAATGAATAAGTAGAATAAAGGTATTAAAAAACTCCTTCCTTAAAAAAATAAAATAAATATGAAGGGGCATCCCTTCTCGGTGGTTTCAGAGGGCTTTTGCTTGAGCCTGGAAATTCAGGATTATGAAGCCCCTGCCTTTGGTCCCGCACCGGGCCTCTCTCCTGCCTTCCGCCGCACGGGTCTCCCCATCCCTGTGTACCCCAAACTCACCGCAGCCCGCGCATCTCTGCATTTGCTGACCTCTCTGCCTGGGTCTCATCCACGTTGAGCCCCAGCTGGCCCTTTTTCGGCCGATCCTACCACCTGTGGACCCAATATGGCCTGCCAGCCAAGAATGTAATATTGAACAGGTTAGGAAAAAGGTCAAAGGAAGAATGAGGCTTCAGGATAATCAAAGCTTGTATGAACTTTAAATTTCAGTGTTCATAAGTAAAGTTTTATTTGAAAATAGCCACACTTATTTATCTGGTATCTGTGGTTGCCTTTGAGCTTCATAGCAGAGCTAAGGCCTGGTACCTTTTTCTTGGCACCTGGGGTTGAGCCCAGGGGTGCTTTACCACTGAGCCACATCCTCAACCCCTCTTTTTTTTTTTTTTTTAATTTAAGGCAGTCTCACCAGGTTGCTTAGGGCCTGGCTAGGTTGCTCAGACTATCCTCAAATTGTGGTCTTCCTGCCTCAGTTTCCTGAGTCCCTGGCATTAAAGGTGTGCCACTGCCACCAGCCTTTTACCATATTTTTAATTTAGGTCTTGACAGAAAAACTGCCAATCTCTCTCTCTCGTCCAGGGCACCAGCTGTATCTGGGAGGCCTGACACCACCTCTGCGGTGGTCTCCCTCCACGGCTTACGCACCAGCCACGCCTTTTCTGCGTTGGCTCGGGGAGGATGTGTGCGGTGCGTGCCCGTGGACGGGTTTGTTGAAAGTTTTTACTGATATTTTTCATCAGTTTCTTAAGTCTTGACAGCCATCAATAAAATAAATTGAGCCCTGGTGTGTCGTGTTTGCTGGTTTTCTTGGTGTACTTCAGCCATGTCCTGTTTTAAGCTACTGATGTGATGTCACCATAGGTATGTGAGAACCTGCTGCTTCTACTGTGGTCCCCAGGCCACCAGCATTAGTGTCACTCCTCACTGAAGCTTATGGAAATCCAGAATCTCAAGCCCCACCCCAAACCCAAGTCAATCTGCATTTTAACAAGGTGCCCAGGAGCGCTGCGCAGAGTGCTCATAAAGTGCCACAGGATTCTTTTATTCTTGCCTGGCATCAGGGTTGGGGTACTTAGTATCCCCAACAGTTCCCTCCAACACATTTTCTAAGACTCGATTAGACTCTGCTCCCTAGAGTTTGCCAACAAGCTACCAGTCCTTAAATTGCAGGTTGCCCAGGAAGAGCTTGGACATCAGTGCTGGAAAGGACCTGGAGTCAGGTCTGGTCCTCGTGTCCCCCAGCGGGTCCCCCCCCACCCGTGGGTCTTCTCGGTCTGCAGTATCTGGGAAGCCTTCAGTATTTTTTCTTTTGTCCTAATTTACATCACATAGACACTCTGTGTCACATTTTAAAAATAGAAAACCACGAAGCCCTGAATAGAGATCATCATAAAAAATAAACATGAAGAGGAAGGGTGTCCTTCAGCTCCGGGCAGGTACTCTGGCCGGCCAGGTGCTCAGCCCAAACCCTGCTTCTGTCTACTGTGAAGGGAGATTAGCAGGGTGTCCTAGGGGCATTAGGAGCATGTCATCACTGAGAGAAACTCTGCTTGCTGTGATGGGGACTGAAAGAAATTGACGGTGTGATGACTGTGATCCATGTAATCAGTGTCATTTAATGTCATGTCTGCATGTCACCTAAAGTCTTGTCGGGCACCACATCCACCCCACACTTTGGAAAAGTCCCAGCAACATGTCATCACTTGCTAAATATGTTCTAATGGTGGCTTCCAAAGGACGCCAAGATACAAACCCTATCAGCCCAACAGGCCAACCGAGTGTCCCCTGAGCTCACGCCCTCACAGGCGCTGTCCCTGCCTGCCTCGAGCCCCGCAGGCCTTCTGTTTTTATCTGGTCTCCTCTCAGATGAGCCAACATTCATTTAAGCAAATATTTGTTGGTTGCCAACTGGTGGTTTAAAATGTGACCCAAATTATTTGTCCCTGCTCCCATCCAGGAGCGGAATCTCCCCTTCTCTTGAACGTGGGTGGGCTTGTCAGTCACCAGCATGGGGAAATGACACTGGAACTTGTGGGGCTGGGCCATTAATAAGGGGCTGGGTGCAACTTCTCCTGGCTMCCTGGGAACAGTTCTTAAAGTTTCCAGGATCACAGGAGCCCTCCAGCTGCCCTGAGCCTGCCATGTTGGAAGGGAGCGAGGCTAGCTTCCAGCCAGATCCCAGCCAGCCTCTGGCTGTTCCTGCCACAGCCCCAAGAGGATTGCCCAGCCTCGCCCTTCCCGYCTTCAGGAACCCAAGAAAGATACATGACAGTTGCTATAAGCACCTCGGTTTGGGTGGGGGGATTCCGTTACACAGCAGTGTGTGTCTGTGGCATCTGCCATGCATCAGGCATTATTGTACATGTTGACTTCCCAGGATGAATAAGAGACCAGGAACTTTGCATCATTTTGTGGAGAGACYGACAATAGGTAAGCAAAGATTTTCAAATGCTACAAAGAAAACAAAACATTGTATTGTGACAGAGGGGTATTTTGGAACCACTGGTCAGGGAGGTCCCCTGTGAGGAGGTGACATTTTGGTAGAAAGTCTGCTGGAGAAGCATTCTAGCAGTGTGTGCAAAGGTCCTGAGGCAGCAACCAACTTGGCATGGTGGAGGGACAGTGAGAAGCTCTGTGTCTGAGCAGAGGGAGCAGCTGAGGTGGAGGAGGTGAGGTCATGGAAGGAGAGTACAGGGCCTCTCAGGCCACAGGGGCCAGTTGGGACTTGGTGCTGATTATGAATAAGAAGCAGGAAGTGAGAGGGATTCAAATGGCTGGCTCTAAACTGGTATTGGCCTCCCTGCTACCTGCTTCCATTTTGGCCCACTGGAGGACAAGCCCCGGGGGCCCTCCCCCCTCCACCTACCTGCACAGGATGGTGTTTTCTGCATTTGGCTCCAGGAGTCATCTTCACATTGTGGGCAGCCCACACTGAGGTTGAGAAGCCAGAGAGCAGTCGGGACAGTCCAGCCAGGAAAAGGAGTGGATTGCTGCCCGCGGGCGGGCCAGGCGYGGGCCTCAGCCTCGGTACTGAACCAGGAGGACGYGCCACCTGCCGTCCCAGTGAGGTTCTAGGCCCACGGCACTGGGGACCAGCCTGGAGGCGAGCCCTGGATGCCCAGAACAGAGGCGGCTAAGGGGGCAGGAGGGAATGAGCATTCTGGGGGTAGAAATGCTCTACAGCTTGATTCGGGGGACAAGGTGGGGGCCGGTGCCCAGACATGAGTCTGTCAGATTTTATGGAACTGTGAATGGGCATACGTTCAGGTGTCGTCACACCTTTGAGAATGGCCATTACCAAGAAGACAAGGGAGAACAAGTGTGAGGATGTGGAGACGGGAACCCGCGCACCACTGTTGGTGGGAATGTCGACTAGCACAGCCAACATGGAAAATGGTCTGGAGCTTCCTCAAAGAATTAAGAATAGAACTGGCTGGTGCAGAGGCCACTTGGGAGGCTGAGGCAGGAGGATGGTAAGTTTGAGGCCAGCTTAGGTAACTTGGTAAGATGCTGTCTCAAAGCAAAATTTTAAAAAGACTGGGATGTAGCTCAGTGTTTGCCTATCATGTCTAAGGCCCTGGGTCCAATATCTAGTATTGAAAAAAAAAATTAAAGGTAGAACTAACATATGATCAGAKATCCCAGTACTGGGTACATATGCAAAGGACATCCATACGCCAGAGAGACCTCTGTACTCCTTGCAGCACTATCTTGGTCAAGGTATGGATAGGAAAATGTGGGCTATGCACAGTGGAAAGCTACGCAGCATTCAAAAAGAAAGAAAGTGGGCTGGGCTCAGTGGTGGAGCTCACACCTAGCATGTTTGAAGCTCTGGGTTCCATCCCTAGCACCACAATAAATTTTTTTTTCTTATTTTTATTTTTATTTTATTTTTTTAAATTTATTTTTTTATTTTTTTATTTTTATTTTTTAGTTCTCGGCGGACACAACATCCCTGTTGGTATGTGGTGCTGAGGCTCGAACCCGGGCCGCACGCATGCCAGGCGAGCGCGCTACCGCTTGAGCCATATCCCCAGCCCCACAATAAATTTTTAAAATTAAATAAATCATTCCTGCAATTTGTGATGTGTAGATGAACCTGGTGACACTATGCTAAGTGAAAGACGCCACACACAGAAAAACTGTGTGGCCTGGCCGTGTGTGGGACTGGAGCAGCTGAGCTCCCTGGAGCAGMGGGGACCAGGCAGTTGGTGAGGGGCAAGTTCTTGCAGGCTGCGAGCCCTGGAGCTCGKGCCCAGCGTGGTGACTGCCTGCCGTCAGAGTGCACCACACACTGGAAAGCCRCAAGAGAGCAGAGCATAAATGTTCTTACCAAAGGTGCATAAAGACAGAATGGTATTCGTGCTCATGGATTTGTTCATCTGCCTGATTTAACCAGGTCACAACGTTCCGTAGATCCGAGCGCACTGTGTACAATTCTGTCAGTTAGACAAAGCCAATTGAAAGCAAAGGCTTGTCCCCAGTGCCGTGGGCCTAGAACCTCACTGGGACGGCAGGTGGCGCGTCCTCCTGGTTCAGTACCGAGGCTGAGGCCCRCGCCTGGCCYGCCCGCGGGCAGCAATCCATTCCTTTTCCTGGCACGCTGGGCCGACCTTGACCTTGAGGAAGGGTGGCATGCAGTTCAGTGCGACCTAGTCACACTGCTTTAAATTGCTGAAGGCTTCCCTGGAGCCGCAGGGGAAGGCTGGGTCCCGCTCGGCCTCTAGGTCTCCGAGCACCTGCTCAGCGGGCTGTGGGGCCGCAGCAGGGACAGATGCCCCTGCTCCCAGGGGCTGTGGGGTGTGAACCTAAGCCAGATAATCCCGCTGGAGTGTGTGGCTCCCATTAGGAGGCTCCAGCTGGCTCCCTGCTGCCCGGGGGCGGAGCTCCTCAGCAGCCTGCCCAGAGCCGGGTGGGGAGCAACTAGGGAGAGGAAAGCAGGAGCAAGGCACTACCTGGCCGCCTGCTGTCCTCTCCATCCAGGCACTAAGGCCCGGATGTCGGCCCTGCCCAGTCGTGTTGGAATCCTCATCCCCAAGGTGATGGGGTTGGGGGCAGGGGTCTCTGGGAGGGGATCCGGTCGAGAGGAATAGGATTCGTGCCTTGCGAGAGGCCGAGAGACCTGGTGTCTTTCTTTCCACCGCGAGAGGATGCAGCAGCTGCTCAGGAGGCTGAGGCAGGAGGGTGGTTGAGTCTGGGAGCTGGAGACCAGCCTGGGCCACTCAGTACGGCTGCGTCTCAAAAAACAAACCCTAGCCACAGCCACAGGCCTCAGCCAGCTTCCCCAGACCCGAGGTCAGAACAAGGGCAGGCCTTGGGTGCTGTGGCCCGGGAGAGCGCAGCCGTCGCCCCTCCTGTCTGATCCGCTGTTGTGTCTTTGCTCAGGATTGAGCCCGAGACCTCACCTGGCATTTAGACATCATTTCTCCATATTCAGCCTGAATCAGACCCACATTTCCTTGACCATGACACTTCCAACACACTCTCCTGGTTATTTTGTAGAGGACCCCTTAACTTTGGGTTCGTTTTCTCCTAATTAAGTTCAGGTCACAAGTTTGGCAAGGACCTCACAGAGGTAATCCGTGCCCTGCCGAGGGCCTCCTGGCAGGCGGCGAGAATGTCAGTCTGTGACTTAGAAGGCTGCCCCAGATGTCAACTGGCTGCTTTGGTTTTGTTTATCTCCAGGGAAGATGCTTTGAGTTTATGAAAACAAATGGGAGAGATTTGAGGAGGAAAGGGAGGAAGCGAGCTCACTCTGGGTGTTCCTTGTGGTCTAACCTGTCACACTTTTGCAATCAAGTCAACCATGGTGCGTGCTTCTAGACAAAATCCAGGTTGGGGTGTCCTAGGGTGGGCGGTGGGTGGGGGTGAGGAAGACSGTGTGTGGCACAGTGACCACTAGGCGGCAGCAGAGGATAGGTATGAGTTAAAACAGGGCACCAGGGACTCAGGCTCTGCCTGCGTTGGGCGGCAACATCTAGGAGCCAGGTGGAGCATGCCAATGTGGGAAGTCTTGGTTACACCTTGCTCTCTGGCTCTGTGGATGATGCTCCAGTCTGACTGTGCTTGCCAGGGGCTAGGGATGGGCCACCTCCAAACCCAGCTCTCCATCCCTGGATGGCCTCCAGGGGCTGAGACTTCCTTCTGAATTTGCTGCAAAATTCATGGGTCCTAGGGGCCATCAGCTTGAAGACAGGTGGAAACCCTTGCAACCACCTCTGGCCAGTATCAGCAAAGGGGAAGGGAGGTGAGGTGAAGTGAAACAACCAGGCAGGTCCCCAGGATCTCAGAGCCAGAGGATTCCATGTCGCACGCGGCCCAATGCAGCATCTACCCTGGGGCTGGGCAGCCTCCCGCCTCCGTAACAAGCACCCGAGGGCCTCCGCAGGAGCMTGTGGTGGGGCGAGTGCTCTCCTCATGGCCAAGGAGGGAGGGGCCAGGGGCCAGCAGAGTCCTGGTTCCCTCCCAGGGCATGCCCCTTTGACATGAGGCCTCCTGCCAGGCCCCAGCTGGAGGCTGCACCACCTCCCTCCCCCCAAGCTGGACACCAAGTCTTTAAGACACGGGGGCCTCTGGGGACGGTGGGGACACTCCAGATCCCAGTGAGGGAGAAGTGCTGTCTCTCAGAGCCACGCTCGGCGTTCTTGGGTTTTGTCCTGGTCCATTAAGAAGACCCAAAGCACTAAGCTGGTCATAACGCGCCAATCATCCCCGGGCTGACTGATGGGCACRTGGCCCCTGAGGACCTCTGGCTTGGCTCCCTCTCTGTCCCCACGGCCACGACTCCTGCTGGACCCCCTCCCTCTGCACGGCTTCTGCATGCACCTAATCRGCCTCCCTGCCTCCAGCGCCTCCCTCTGCCCTCCTCCTGCCAGGACCCTCTGAAGCCCAGCTGGGTGCCATGGATGCCCTCGAGGAGCGGGACTTGGGGAGGCTGCACTGCTGTCTGGTCCATCAGGGGCAGGCACCCATGAGGCTCTGCTCGATGCAGCAGTTGCCAGCACAGGGAGGGGCATTTCCATGGTCACCAAGGGGTGGGGAAAGGGCGCAGAGCAGCAGTCAGTGAGGTGGGCGCGGCCGTCCCTGTCCCGCCAGGGCACCCCTCCCTCCTCAGCACACCTGCAGCCAGAGGGCACGGGCTCCTCCCGTCCCGCTCTGGGGTCCTCGCCACCACTTTGAGGGSCCCCCCCCCACCCAGCAGCGACTCACGGAGGTCCAGCTGAAGGCCACGGGGGCTGTCATGGCCACTCGGGCACCCCCGGGACTTAGGTTCCTTCTCTCTCGCCGTCCTCATCATCAGACTCAATGGGGGAAGCCCAGAGCAGTGAGCTCTGAGACTGTGAGCCAGGAGGAGCGGGGACACGCCGGGGGCAGGCGCAGGGCCAGGCACAGGGGAGTCCTTCCCAGGATCGGCCTCACCATTTGGAGGGCCTTGGTGCAAAATGAAAACTGGGGCTGGGCTCCTTGTTCAGAAACGAAGAGTTTCAAGATGGTGAGGGCTGAGCACAGGCCCGGAGTTCCCTGATGGCATTTCAGTGTCACCCAGGGACCCTGGGCCCCCTTCCTGGGACTGAGGGGCTTGGGCTGGGCCAGCATCCCCCTGCCTCTCTGGGGCATCCTCTCACCCACGGGCCCTCCCGAGAGGTTCTTCCCCAGGATGCTCCGGTCCCACCCCGTCAGGATCTGTGGGCTGGGGGCCACTTTTGGAAATGTGCACACACGGTCTCTCCAGGGCCCTAAAGTTAGCCCATGGCCCACCCAGAAGGCCCTGAGGACCCTGGTGGCGTCTCCACGGCCGTGCGCCTGTTCATCCTGCCACAGCTGGAGGGCACGGGGAGGGCACGGGGAGGGCACGCGCTCACGGGTGTGCAGGACCCTGGCCGTGGCAGCCGGCGGAGCCCTCCTCTGCTGCCCTCACTGGCCCCAGCTGCCCTGCCCGGAGGCCAGGGGCTCCGGCTCCACCAGGACGAGGGCCTGAGGGAGGAGGGAGCAGGGGCAGTGGCCGGGCAAGCCCGCGACCTGGGGTGGCGCATGGGGCGGCGCTGGAACATGGACCGTGACCCCTGAAGGGGCGGCTCCAAGGAGGAGCAGGGTGGAGGGCTCAGGGCCTCCGTGTCCTCCCGGCTCCTCCAGCGGACCCTGCCAAGGACAAGGCGGAGCCCGAGGCCGAACCCAGTCTGTCCTGGTCTCCACCAGGGGAGGGACGGTGGGGTCAGGGAGTCCTTTCACCAGCTCCAGTCTCCCAGAAGAGGAGACGACCGACACTAGACATTCTTCCGTCTGGTGTCACCAAGTCTGGAGGATGAGGCCAGACAACACTGCTCTCACCGTGGTCTTGTCCCTTTCCACCCCTCGGCGCCCTGCACCCCTCCTGCTAGCCACGGGGTGAGTCTGCGTGAATGAGAACAAGATGTTGGGGTCTGAATATACTGCAATATACGTGTTCATAAGAAACCTTCTAAGAACAATTAATTAGAGCACAAAACTATTGATATAAACATTTTTTCCAAAAAGAGAAACTATTGCATTTCATTGGACGGTGCTTCCTAGACAGAGGCTCGGTCTGAGGTTGGTTTCGGGAGGGAGCTCGCGCTCAGCTGAGGCAGCGAGACGGAGGGCCAGGGCTTTCCAGGCACACAGGTCCCCGTGTCTCAGGTTCAGGGCTGTGCAAGTCCTTGGTTTTCCTTTGTCCCCAGAGAAGAGCTCTGGCTTCAAAGAGGTCAGGATGGGACCTGGCAGGGGTCAGATGCCCCAGAACTGCTGAGAGGGGAGGGTTCAGAAGGACCTGGCGGCAGCAACTGCCACGGCCCCCCGCGAGCTTGCTCCAGAGCCAGCGGTTTGGCTCAGTGTGGGCTTGAACTTGGACAGAACCCCAGTCCTGGCTGGGGTGGATCAGACACCAGTGGGCTGCCTTCCACAGCTTGCTCTTTTCTAGCTCCAGGTCTGATCCGCCCAGGGACGCGGCGACTCGCAGCTGAGACTGGAGAGGCCTCTGGCATCAGGACCGGGACCCTTGCGGGCTGGCTGCCTCCTGCCTCAGCACAGCATGGCCCGGACAGGAGGCCCAGGATGGCCTGTCCACACAACGCCACAGGCATGGCTGAGATTGTCCCTTGCACCGAGAGGCACGTGGTGAGGGCCCTGCTCCCTTCCGAGGGACCCACAGAGGCTGAGCTCTGCGCCGGCCGACAGCACAGGACGCCTCCGGGCTCTGCTGGGCTTCTTCCTTTTCTCTTTAAAATCGTGGTGGAAACTGGCACTAGCTGGATKGAGGGAGGACACACGTGGGGACCAGCGGCCGGCCCTCCTGGGCTGGAGGGCTGTGACGCGTGGCTGCGGCGGCTGGGAGTGCGGAGGGAGCGTCAGCAGTCTCTGGCCCGGGGCGGGGGCGCCACCGTGGGCCCAAGTCAGAGTCAAGTCGCTTCGTCTAAGAGGCACTAATGTGGGCGGCCAAGGACACCGTCCCTGGAGTGGCTGGCGGCGTCCTCCAGGACCTCGGGGAAGGTGCCTGTGGAAGGTGCTAGATGCCCTGCAGGGAGTGGTTCGGGTCGCTGCGCTCACGCTTCACCAGGGGCTCGCCCAGGCTGCGGGCACCCGCTTCGGCCTCGCTGCCTCGCTTGTCACCGATGTCATCTGCCGGCCGACATGAGGGAGAGACAGGCTGTGCTCACAGAGGAGGGGACAAGCCCTCCCGCCGGTGACTTCCCTTAACCAGGGCCGACTGGCCTGGGTCCCACGGTTGGCAGGCTGGGCCTCGGGGGTGCCCTGGGGACAGGTCCTCACCCCTGGGCCAGGACTGGGTCCAGGGGTCTCTGTCCCGGTGGCCAAGGAGCAGGAGGCCTTGGGCCGCCCCGGCTGGCCGAGCCTTTCTCTGTGGGCCCAGTGCGGGAGACCCCGGGGAACAGGCTCAGGATGGCCCAAGGGCACCACAGGGACTTGTGCCCACTTCCCAGGTGCCACCAGCCGTCTGCAGGCCCGCTCCCGGAGGCCCTCCGCCCTGGGGACTGCCCCAGGGAAGCCCAGGCACACCCACCTTTGTCCAGCAGGGTCAGTGACAGGGAGGCGAGGTCGTTGAACTGTAAGAGAAGCGGGAGTCGGGGGCTGCACAAGGCCGGCACGCCCCACGAGGGCTCCCACGGCTCAGAGCCGCTCCTGCCCCCGGCCACCCCCACGCCTCCAGGCAGCACCTGGGGGTGGCTGGTGGGTGGCGGCCCTGACTGCAAAGGCCACCAGGGGCAGCGGCCGGCGAGAGAGGCCCTGCCCGGAAGGGCTGCTTGGGGCCGGGGCAGCCGGCCGCCCTCCCTCCAGGGCCCAGCGCCTGGCCACCGACCCGCGCAGCACCGGCGCAGCTTCCACGTGTCTGGGTGAGGTGGGGGCCCTGGCCACTGTCTTCGGGGTGTGACAGCCTCTTAACTGTGAGGAACCGCTGCCCTCTGCCCTCCACTTGTTCTAGAACCTCTACAAGTGAGGCTCCGTTTCTTCTTTGAAACAGCCCCACAGTTGTGCCCCCAGCTGTAGACCCAGAGGGACTGAAGAGGGGGGCCGACAGCCCAGGTCCACGTCGCAGGTGGACCACGACGCCTGGCGTGTCCTCAGCCACAGCAGGAGCCAGGCTCCGGCGCCGCAGTGCAGGGGGACCCGGGCACCCCAGGCTCGGTGAGAGCCAGACCCACAGGCCACAGCATGTGACTCAGCGACAGGACACGGCCAGGACAGGTGAGTCCAGAGATGGGACGTGGACTTGCGACCTGAGGTGACTGCTCACGGTGACAGGGCCGTTTGGGGGCAGAGTGCTCTAAGGTGGACACTGGTGAGGGGCGCACCTGCGAATGCACTAAGTGCCACTGAATCCTGTACTTCACGTGGCACATCTGTGGCCATGCCTGTCATCCCAGCTGCTCGGGAATCACAGTTCCAGGCCAGCCCAGGTGACAGAGCAAGAGAGACCCTGTCTCACAACAAGGAGGGCTGGGGAGTGACGCAGTGGGAGAGCACTCCGGGTTCAGTCCCCAGCACCAAAGCAGAACAAAACACCAGGTCGACTTCTGGGTGGGTTCTACTCCGATTTCCTAGAGGCCTGGGCGTGTCGGGGCCCTGGGAGGCCAGGTCCCAGCGAGTCACACTGCAGCCGGGACCAGAGCCAGGCCCTGGGCTCTCCCTGCTCCAGGCCTCCCGGGTGCCCCGGCCACCTGCCCGGCCACACCCCAGGGCCTCACCTCTCCCATGACGGCGATGGGCGTCTCTCCGGTGGCCTGGGCCACGCGGTGCTCCACCAGGTAGAACATGTACTCGTCGTAGAGCAGGCGGATGAGGTGGAAGGAGCCGAAGCTGGCCGCGCTGCGCAGGGTCAGGTCGCGGATCACCATGGAGCTGGGCACAGGGGGACAGAGGCCAGAGACTCTAAGTGGGGCCTGGGCACCGGCCGGCTCCTCCAGGACCCCAGAAATCCTGGTGGTCCCGAGACTGCTGGCCTGCGGGGTCTGCCAGGGAGACCACCTCGTCTGTGTGACGGGCAGTTGGGGGCGCTGCCTGCTGGCTCCCCAGACACGCGGCACCGGCAGTGGTCACAGCTGCGGCCCRTCACGCACCTGGGGCTGAGGGGTCGAGGCGTCCGCGCCTGCTGCTCTCGCCCAGCTGCCCTCTCACCACTCAGGAGCTAGGGTCCAGCAGGGACAGAGGTCCTGTCCTGCTCCAGGGACGGGCTTGCTCWGGGAGGGGACGGGACCAGCCAACAGGCAGCAAGGGGCAGGCGAGCCAGCACCATGGGAGACAGCGGGGCACATGGGTGGAGGGTGACAAGGACAGGTCTATCCAGTGAGGCGGCCGCAGCCAGCTCGGGGCCAGCAAGGCTCGTGGGGTGTGGTCTGTGTGCCGTGCCCCCGAGCCACGCCCCAGCCCTTTTCCGGCAAGCCACCCAGGCCGGCTTTGAGCTTGCCTCCCCCGGCCTCAGCTCCCTGAGCGGCCAGGGTGACAGAGGGTGCCCCTGCGCTCTGCGGAACACCACCCGGCCATTCGCTTCTCTGTGGGCAGCTAGCCAGCCTGGCTGGGGGACAGTGAGGAGTGGGTGTGGCTGGCATCATGGGGGGCAGGATTGCCCCCAGGCTCCTCAGGACAGCGGCCTCCTTCCCAGGTGTCCATCACTCAGAGAGGCCAGAGTGGCCCAGGGACTCCAGGAGCCAGGCAGAGTGCGGCCCTTCCTCCGGCGGGTGCTGCTGCTGGTCTGCACAGGTGGGGACTCTGTTCCTGGGAGGTGGCGGCCTCAGGAGCTCGGCAGGGGCCACCGCCATCCAGCCTGCAGGCTGCCCCCAGGGCCTGCCCGTTCTTGTCTCTTTGGAAGGCTTTCTGGTGGTCCGCTGGCCCCGGCTCTGAAAGTCCAGGAGGGTCCGTGGGGAGCGGGGCCGCCCACAGTGCGGGAGCCAGGCCTCTTCTCACCTGGGAGACTCTTCAGTCCCCAGCCACAGGCGTCCCTCCGTCTCCAGGCCCAGAGGACACCTGCCGGTGCCCACGCCCCTCAAGGCGCGTCCTCCTGTGGCCTGCGGACCTTCTCTGGGCGGCCTGCCTGCGAGACCCGCTGCCTCGTCAGGGTCGTGAACTCACCGTCGGGGCGGGCCGCGAGCAAGCAGGTTCGGGGACACGGTTCTTTCTGGTCTTCCTGTCTGCAGTGGGTGGAAGCCACAGACGCAGAGCCTGGGACCYGAAACCGCAGCCGGGAGGGCTGGCCGGATTGTCGGCATTTTCTTTTCCTCATTTTCTCTCTTATTAGAGCCCCGCGGCTGGGTGCCGAACCTCTGCATCCTGAGCCTGTGCTTTCTTGGTCTCTCTCACCCTTGTGCCTCCCATTTGCTTGCCGTGAGGGCGTTTCATGTGGCCCAGGCGTAGCCAGTCAGTCCGCGGGTCTCGGGTGCACGCAGGCGTCCTGCTGACGGTGATGGACACCTGGGACTGGGAGGCGCTTATTCTTGGTAGTGTGGGTGGGCCTTGCCCAATCAGCTGAAGGGACTTGAGAGAAAAGGTGAGGCCTCCCGAGTCCTCGAGTTCCCGCCTGTGGCTGCAGATTCCAGACTCACCCAGTCACGGGAGCCATTGCTRGAAACAGCCCTCTCTGCTCCCCTAAGGTGCTCGCCGGGACCCCAGGGGGCTGCTCTGTGGAGACGGGGTCTGTCTCTGGCTGCTCTTGGCCCCCAGAGAGCACGGGGCTGCTGCTCTTTCTGGTTTGGTCCTGCGTCCTAATTGACTGCGTGGATTCCATGTCCCACACTTAGTGTGCCCGTCCTCTTTGTCCTCGAGGGCCATACCCAGAAGCTGGGCTTCTCCAAGCTCAGCAGCCAAGTGGCAGTGGGGTACCCCCCGCCCCGCCCCCCGGAGGTGCCTCCTGGGCGGAGCCGGGCCTTACCTGTAGAAGGACCACTTGAGCAGGAACTGCCGGGCGGCCTTGGGGAAGCTGGGGCTGCCCACGTGCTGCTTGAGCACCTGGGTCACCACGTTGTCCAGCCAGCTGGCCCACTGGTCCAGCGAGCTCTGCTGCTGCAGGGTCAACTTGAAATCCTGCTCCAGCCKCTGCACCAAGCTCTCCTCACACTGGCACACCCACGAGGCCTGCTCCTGCAGACAGCACAGGGACAGTGGCGCCCTGTGCTGACCCCAAGAGGGCCCAGCCACTGCAGTCCCCCAGACCTGAGCCYGGCTCAGCGGGGGCCTCRGGCTGTGCCCGAGTCTGGGCTGGAWSCAGGGCCTCGCATACTGCACCCCTGCGCTGGGCACCCGCTGGGCCTCCTTGGCATTGGCACCGACCACTGAGCCGGGCACCTTCAGCACCCGCCTTGCACTGGGTGCAGAGGGTGCACAGGCTCCTGGAGGGAGGCTCGCGTCACACCGCGTCTTTGTCTTGGTTGTGTGTGTGTGTGTGTGTGTGTGTGTGTGTGTGTGTTCACTTATTCCACAGAAAAACTCAGGGTGGGAGTGAGGTGAACACAGAGCTGCGGCTGTCACCTGTGGTTCCTTCAGCCCAGGGGGCAGAGCCATGAGGACGGCATTAGGGAGGTGACGTGAGTGTGGCGCCAGCTCTGGGAAGCTGGGGGCGTTTGTGAGGGGGGTGAGTGAGGTGTCAGCCACAGCGCCTGGGCGGGAAAGGGCCTCAGCCGTCAAGGAACGGAGCCACCAGGGACCACGGTGGCTGGGCAGGGCTCTGACTGGCACCGTTTCATGCAGCAGAAGCTGGGCCAGGCCCCGGGCAGGTGGGTCTGCTGTGGGCCGAAGCCATGGGCCTCCTGCTTTCCTAGAGGAGGGAGGCCCAGGCCGTGCGGGGAGGACCCTGAAGTCACGGCCTCTCTGCAGCTCAGMGCCGTTCTGAGGCAGACTTCGGGGACGTGTCTGAGAGAGTCACCTGCACGTTGGCGAAGTCCACGCGGTTGAGGTCGCTGAGCATCTGGTTGATCTGGGAGGTGTTCTGCAGCACGGCCCGGGCCGCCTGGGCCAGGTGGTTCARGGACGTGTATCTCCGCAGGGTTTGGGCAAAGGCACTGACGACACCCACCTGCGAGGGGACAGTGTGGATCACCAGGAGCCGCAGGCCCCCCAACCAGGGCAGGAGGGGCTCTGCTCAGTTCCCTGCCGGGAGGAGGCTGCGGGAGAGGGCCCTGCTCTGCCACGGCAGGACGAGGAGTCACGCCGTCCTCGTCCTGGCGCTCTGGGCTCAGATGGCCACAGTGCAGCTGCCAGTGGGAAGCGCAGACTCCTGGGCATCCCGGGCCAGAGCCCTGGGGCGTGGCCTGGGAGCGGGAATTCATGGTAGGCAGCGGCCACAGGCCACGACTCTCAGCACACCCAGGGCCCAGAGCAGCACAGACCCAGGGCGGGGCGCCAGAGGCCCCTGCGCCCGAGAGCTGTTTGAGAAATGCCCCCAAATGCCACGTCCTCATTCTCTTTCGCACACAGGCAAAGTCTCCACCTTCTGTCGGGAGCCGTCTGGAAATACACGCCCTGAAGTCCTGAGCAAGAGATGCTGAAGGATTCCCGCCCCCCAATAACTGGGGCTTGACCCCAGCCGRGATAATGAGGTGTGGCTCCAGGGCTGGGCGTCACCCGGTGGGGTGAAGCCACACCCTCCTGTTCCTTTGCAATCCTACCCCTTTGCCCTTTGGGGGATAGAATGATCCATGGGACCTCCCCTCGGGTGTCCCTATATAAGAACATAGACCCAGTGCCTCTCTCTCTTTCCACGGACCCCTAAGGCCAGAGAGTCGTCCCCGAATTTTGAAAAGGTACTTCTGTGGGTTTCGAGCTTTCTTCGCCATTTTCTTAAGTTATTGGGATTTTGATTATCAGTTCAGATTTGTGAACCCACCGAGGTGGTCGCTAGAAGAGATGGTGATGACCTTTAAAATTCAGGCTGTGGCCAGGACGGTAAGGACAGGGCTATAGCGAGGAGATGGGACCTCCTCCCGTGACCACCGTGGAAACAACGCGGATAGGACACTGAGTGACGCCCGCCATGGCCCTCCCTGCCGGCACCTACTCCACACGCACAGCGTCCCCAGGGCTCCCTGGAAGGGCCAGGTGCCCGCCTGACACAGAGAAGCAGCCRCTCCCGGGCACAGTGGTCCTCGGGTTTCGGGGGAGCAGGGCAGGGAGCCCCCTCCTGCCAAYTCCCGCTCCCCCACCCAGAGCACGCGGGGACCCAGGGGTCCCTGGGGCCTGTGGCAGCAGCTGCCCTCCCATCGAGGGTGGGTGCCCAGGCCCAGCCTGGCGTTACCTTGGTCTGGATGACCTGCTGCGGGAAGTCACTCATGGCGTTGGCCAGCCAGCCTTCTAAGCTCTTGGCAAAATTACGGATGGCCTGTGTCAGGGCACCTGGAGACATAAGCCACAAGGCTGGGGTGAGGAACGTGCGGGACAACGTGGGTGCAGGAGATGCCCGCCCCCGGAGGACCGCTGCGGGGGAAGGAACTTGGAGAAGGGGCCYGGGAGAGCCAGGGACGTGCCCTTTGCCACTGCCCCGTCTAGGACGGTGGTTCTCACCCAGAGTGACTCTACCCCAGAGGACACTGGGCAGTATCTGGGGACATCTGTGGCTGTCTCAGTTGGGAGCTCCTGGTGTGCAGCCGGTGGAGGCCAGGGCCACAGCCCAGCACCCTGCAGCACCCAGGACCCCACCCCAGAGGACACCCAGCCCCGTCAGCGATGGCAGGGGAGACCCCGAWGCATACGCCACATGCACGTAAGAATGTTCTGCCAACTTCCACACTGAGGTTGGAAAAAGGGGACCATGCCCAGGACTSGAATCTTCACTGGAGGCTCGTGCTGGTCTGCAGTGACCAGCTCCAGGCAGCGAGGCCACCGGAGAGAGGTGGCCTGTCTGTCCTTCCTCATCTCCTGGCAGAAAGCAGCCTGGCAGCCATCAAGACCCAGACTGCTGCCAGGCTTGGCCCTAGTGCCCAGCAGCGGGCGGCCTGAGCTCTCCATGCTCCCGTCTMCCCCAGGGCCGTGGGCACTCGGCCTGGGCGGGCACCACAGCCCTTGTGTGRCCTGTCATCGCCGTGGAGGGCGGAGGCCCTGGAGCAGCCCACCGCAGGGGGTCCCGTGTTCCTCATGTCGCCCCCCACTCTGACCCCTCATGTCCTCTGGGGCCATCACAGGCAGAGCCGGGGGTCCCCCAGTGCTGGGCAGCCCGGGGCTCCGGGCGCGCTGGTCGGGTGGGATCTGGTGGGGTGAGGTGGCCCCCAGCCCAGCAGGCTGCAGGAGCTGTGCTGCCATCCTGGCCATCCCTTGTCCACTCAGGAAATGCCCCCAACCTTACAGGGAACCTGGGACAGCAGGTGCTGGCACATCCTCAGGACTAGGGTGGTGACAACTTTACATGGCCCTGAGGCGCTGCTTCCCTCACAGTGACAGCTTGGAGCTGTGACCAAGCCACTCTCAGAGGCCATCGGGCCACTCACATGCCCTCCAGCAAATCTTCCAGAAAGCACTGAGCCTGGCCTGGCCTGCCCTGGACAGTGTCCTGACAGCTGGCAGAGCCCCCGACGTCAAGCCACTAACTCTGACACTGTGGGCCAGGAACAAGGACAGATCCATAGGCCCCCGCGGACCTGGGAGTGTTACCTGAGCTGGGTGGGAGGGGCGGGAGGGGCGACGCGTGCGCAGGTGACAATGGGGAGAAGAGGGAGGCAAGGAGGTGGGCGGCAAGTGGCCACTCTGGCCTCTTACTGGGGACCGGCCTCAGCACGTCGGGGATGAGGATCTCCACCAGGGCCTGGTAGAGGATGTGGTCACAGCTCCTCATCCACTTGAGGACAGGGTCATGTTTGCACAGGGAGATGAGCTTGTCCTTGGGGAGGACGGCACCCTCTGGCTCCTCGTCACTGYGGAGGGTGGGCAGGTGGGTGAGCCTTGCTGGGTGGGGGAGCTGCCCCGCCCCGGGAAGACCAGAGAGCACGCCCCCGGTGAGCGGGCACAGGCCTCTGTGGGCTTGCTCCCGGGCCCTGCAGCTCGGCCCCACCCTCAGAAGCCATGCTGGAGGCCACCATGGAGCACCTCTGGGTCTTCCCCAGGATCCACACTGTCCCCTCCTCTGTCTGTGGCCCATGTGACTTTTCTCACTGCAGMAGTGGGTCAAGGTCACCTCTATGTGGAATTGAGTCATGGCCACCTCTATTAAACAGTCTGATTTGAAAAGGGTCAAAATTCAACAACAGGAAGGTCTAAAAGAGGAGGTGCCTGAGACCCCCTWCTTAGGGAGCTGGACATTTGTGGGTCACCTGTGGCCACCAGCAAACAACAGTCTGCAGGTTAACCCTGGGGGGCCTGTGGACTGGACAGGGGTGGCCGCTGTGGTTGGTGGGGGGTGTCACCTGGCAGGCAGGGAGGTGGGGCCCTCGCTGGAGCAGGCTTTCGCGTTCCAGAAGGAGAGCCACAGCTTCTCAATGTAGTGGAACTGCAGGTTCATGACGACGCCCAAGGTGGCCTGGGAGGGACAGCGGCTGGTCAGGTGGACGCACGCGTGAAAGCACAAGTCCCCTGTGTCCTGGGAACACGCAGTGAGCGGCCATCACCACGGGAGGGGGGGCAGGGGGACTCGGGCCTCCTGTCCCCTCGTGCCACGCCTGGAGGGGACCTGAGGCTGCAGCCACTCCAGGGAAGGACTGGGGCGCGGGCCCACAGGGCCGGGACCAGGGCCGTCACCGTCACCTCGCAGTGCCGTCTGTACACCAGCTGCAGGGCCTTGACGTCGTGCGGTGTGACGCTCTCCTGCAGCAGCATGCCGCCCAGGTCGGGGGCCGGGAACTCCGGGAAGACGTGGGAGACGTCTGGGAGGAACAGGAGGTCAGAACCGGCCCTTAGGAAGTGGGCAATGCGCGGTCGAGAAGCCCACGTGCCGGGGATGCTCCTGGGCAGGCATCCGGGCTCCTGCATGCAGTTGGTGACTTTTATAATTTCTAGTTTTCTTGAGTACAAAATGGGGACAAYACTGTCACACCCAGGGATGTTAAGTAAGCTGACCCAGACGGAGCCGAGCTCTGGCTGGGCACACAGCAAGCCCTCGAAGCCTCGATTCTCAGAGCTGTGGCGCAGGAGTGGGGAGCCCAGGGCACCCACAGAGCCAGCCAGGGCAGCGCCTGTGGGGAGACCAGTCTCGGTGGCCCCACGGTGACCTCCTGGGCACAGGCCAGGCACCAGCAGGTCCTTCTAGGAACCAGCCTAGAAGGGTCTGTCCAGACTTGAAAAAGTACAAGCCTCGAGGGTCTCCAGRGTCTGACAGGGATGCCCGCAGGCCTCGGGGGTGGGGGTCCAGGCGGCAGGCCCAGGAGGGAGGGCACGCCCGCCCTGCCCGAGGCCAGAGGCTCCAGGGGAGCCAGGGAGAAAAGCCAGAGGCGGCACCCCCCC